GCTAATAATTGTAAATGCCGATGTGTAAAATCTAGAAGATGAATGTTGTTTCTTGTCTTAGCTTGAAATTGCATCCTCTCCCTTCCATATGTCTAGTTTGATTGCATACATACCAATTTGGAATGTGAAATGCCGCCTCTCTCTTTGCCAAATTTTATTCAATTTTTCATTTTCCAAAATTTGAGGTTATACATCTGCATTTAAATATTACAAAGCAGACTACATAAAGCAAGAGAAGTAGGCTTATTATTAACTTCACAATTTTGACAATGCCGCAACTAGAGAAAGACCACAAGGTAAGTTGAACAATACAATGAAATAGTACTAATTTAAGGAAAAGCCTGAATAACATATTGGACAGCATGAATCGGTGTAATAGTGTGTCGGCTAAAGCCAGCCTCTCCAAGAACATATCCCCATTCCTTCAAGGTTCTTTCTTTTCCTGTGTTAGTATGGGCCATCATCACCATGTCTAGCATCAATCTCACATTTGTTAGCGTGCTGTCCTCTTTCTCATCATTTTCATCGATAACCGCTTCTATGATTATCACCTTCCCTTTGTCCTCAGGAATAGCTTCCCTGCAATTCTTAAGGATACGGATGCACTCATCATCTTCCCAATCATGAAGAACCCACTGCAATTCACGAAAACAAAATCAGAGTATCGTTTGTCATAACGTGTTGTTGATTGAGTAAAAAAACTTATAGCCAGATAATCAGGGAGTGAGATGGCAGAGGAACCGCATTTTTTCTTATCGCATTATCGCAGACAAATGATGTAATAAGTGGTAGACATTAACAGACAAATCAAATGATAAACTAATAGGTCACAGGATGAATGAAAAGTATAAAGATGTGTTGCTAACTTGCTGCTAGCTATTTTAAGGCTACTCTTCCTTAAATGGTTTAATTTTCTCTATTTCCTTTAACTATATAAATATACTAACCTTGATAATTACAGCATCAGCCTTTGGAACATAATCAAACATGTCACCTCCAACATTCTTAATGCGGTCATACTCCTGAGCAACAGACACAACATGAGGAAGATCAAAGTTGATGCCTCGAATCCAAGGGCATGCCTCAACCAACAAGCACAAAGCAGTCCCATTACCCGCGCCCACGTCTACTATTGTGTCAAGCCCTT